CTCAATTCCTTCCTTTTCTTTTAAATAGGATTCCTAAACTGTTAGGGAAAATGCCACTGATTTTAGAAAAATGTTTAATAATGTTTCATGCTAACCTTGTGGGAAAGGTTGAGCAGGGTAGACTCAAAGGTAGTATGGATTCAGGGATAGTTGAATGTCTAGACCCAAAGAATAATCATTGTTTAATTTTTTTTTTTAGGCAATCGGGATTAAAGTGACTTGCCCAGGGTCACACAGCTAGTGTCAAGTGTTTGGTCTGACGCTGGCTTTGAACTCAAGTCCTCCTGACTCCAGAGCCAGTGCTTTGTCCACTGTCCCCTCTAGCTGCCTCCCCCAAAGAATAATCATTAATGGCTCAAAATCAACTTGCAGGGAGATCTTCATTGGCTTGCTTAGGCATCTGTGACTGACCCTTTGCTCTTTAGCATTTTTATCAATGACTCAGATAAAGACATAGGTATTTGTCCAGTTGTTCAGTTGCATCCAACACTTCATGCCCTCATTTGGGGTTTTCTTGGTAAAGAGATTAGAGCGGTTTGCCATTTTCTTCTCCAGCTCATTTTACAGATGAAGAAATTGATGCAAACAGGGTGAAGTGACTTTCCCAGGGTCACACAGCTAGGAAGTATCTGAGTCTGAGAGAGGTTAAGTGACTTGCCCAGGGTCTCAGAGCCTGTAAATATCTGAAGAAGGACTTGAACTCATGTCTTCTTGACTCTAAGTCAGCCTAATTACTATGTCAATGTAAATGGAAAGAACAATAACAATAGTAAAATAACCAAAACTGTATGGTACAAAATTATCGTACCAATGCTTGGCCCCAAAAAAGAGATGAAAAGGCAACTCCCTCCTTTTTTTTTTTTCAGAGGTGGGAGAGTATGAGTATAAAACTGAGTTTGGTCCATTTGTGAGTTAGTTTTGCCAAACCGTTCCCCCTCTCTTATTATTTGCTCTCTGAGAGGGGGAGGGAAGAGTATATTGAAAAATGAGGGTGCTATGAAAATAAAGGGTAAGATGGGGCCTGTGATTTCATTGGCATAGGGAACTCCAGGGTGAGGAAGCTCCCTTTCCTAAGGTAGACTGAGACCTCTGAAATGTACAGTTCTAAAGAGTTGCCTAGAGTATTGAAAGGTGGAGCACCTTGCCCAGGGCCCACAGCCAGTACGAGTCAGAGATAAAACTCGATCTCAGGTCTCCTGGCAATGAGGCCAGTGATCTACTCACAAATTTCTTGTAAAAATTGGAAAATGTCAATTTAAGTTAAAAAATCATTTTTAAAATAAAAAGACCATATAATTATGCCAGTTTGTGATACACACACACACACACACACACACACACTCCTCTCAAAAACTCTTTCTTTAGGAGGCAGCTAGGTGGAGTAGTGGATAGAGCACTGGCCCTGAAGTCAGGAGGACTTGAGTTCAAATCTGGCCTCAGACCAAACACTTGACACTTACTAGTCACTTAACCCCAACTGTCTAACAACAACAACAACAAAAAGCTCTTTCTTTAATGAAGTTCCATATCTAAAACTAATTTAGAAAAATCAAACCAAAACATTTACTAGCATGAGAACTCTAGAGAATGCTTACTTAGAAGACAAAGGTGTTGGAACCTGGCTTGGTTCGTCATGTGTCCCAGCAACAGACTCTAAGAGCAGGGTCTACTCTCTTTGGATTTGCATCAGAGGGAGTCTGCACAGCAGAAATTTACTCAGATCCTTCTCATAATTCCACTGCACTTCAGTTTGAGCAACAGGAAGAAAGATACTTAAAATCCCACTGGAAAAATGAGTTTCCACATTTCACACTTTCCAGGTTTCAACAAACCAAAATCTCTTTGGGCACATTGTGGGAGAAGGTAAACATTCAATTCAGCAAACATTTATTAAGCTCCTACTATGTGCCAGGCACTGTGCTAAACGCTGATATATAACTAGTATGGCCAAGTAAAGAGAGACTCTTCACCACAGGCTGGAAGAATTGGATGCTGTCTTGCTTCCGCAGTGATGGTGCTGGTGAGGCAGAAATGCTGGCAGAGGATGGGCTAAAAACAACAAATTTTAGACTGTCTATATATTGCAATAACAACTAACATCTAAATCATGTTTGAAGGCCTACTAAGTGCTGAACCTACTAGCAATCCTATGAGGTAGATTTCATCCCCATTTTATAGGCGAGGTAATTGAGTCTCAGAGAAGTTAAGTGCCTTATCTGTAGCCACACAACTAGCTAAAAATCAGATTCAAACTCAGTTTTTTTCTGACTCCAAATGTATCCTCTGCCTACCATGCCAACCTGCCTCAACTTCAGAAGCTAAGAAGTATGGATAGGTTTCTAAGACCTCTATCAACAAAACCAGGTTCCTATTGAATTATTGAAAAGGGATGGTAATACCACAAATGGATCAGCTGTAACTTTGAGTTGTGTTGTACCTTTATTTTAAAATTATTTCTCTCTGACGTTGGAGAAGATTCAGCTGAGAAGAACAACTTCCCAAAGATCATTTCAGATCTATACCCAACGGGCTATGAAAATACAAGCTCACTGATATTTGGTTAGACGAGCCTAGTTCTGCGGAGGCAGCATGCAGCCATGGATAGAGTAATATTGATAATGATAATAATGATATTAGTAATATAATAGCCAGCATTTACATAATACTTTAAGGTTTACCAAAAAAAAAGCACTTTACAAACATTATCTTATTTGATCCTCACAATAACCGTACAGGATAGGTATCATTATTATCCCCATTTTATAGATGAGGAAATTGAGGCTAAGAGGTTAAGTGACTTGTCCAGGGCCATCAACTAGGTTCTAAGGTGAGATTTGAACTCAGGTCTTCCTGACTCCAACTCCAGCACCCTATTTTCTGTGTCACCTAGCCAGTGCAAATAGAATACTGTGTTAGGAGTTAAGAACACTTAAGTTCAAATCTGGCTCAGACATTTAAGGTACTTCATTTTTATGTGCTGCTGACAGTGTCTTGGGATCTATATACTAAGTGACCTACCAGTTTGGGGTTGATCCACAATGGAAGAAGTTCCCATACCAGAAGTTTACCCGGATCTTTCCCATAATTCCACCACAATCCCATTAGAAGTGGATTTCCTTATTTCACAGTTCCTAAGTTTTGAAATAATGAAATCTCTTCGGGTCCATCAGGGGAGGTCAGTCAGTCGATCAATAAGTATTTCTTATAATTAAAATACTGCGCTAAAGAGAGGGGATAGAAATAAAGGTAAATGTGGTCCCTGTTGAGAAGCTCCTGATCTAATGAGGAAGGTAAACATGTAACAAAGTTTTCAAATAATTAGCCTTTTCCCCCAAACAAGAAATGCTTGTTTTATTCTTCAAATTAAAAATAAAATAAAATTTAACAAAAGAGACAGAAAAGGGAGCTCAATGAACCTCTTCTAGGTAGTTGTTGGACAACCACACTTTTTCTCATGATATATCGTATGGATGGGATAGTGGTCAGAGAAATGGACTTGGAGTCAGGAAAGCCTGGATTTAAATCACACTTCAGACATTTACTAGCTATATTACCCTGGGCAAGTCACTCAAAAGACCTCACACAGTTGTGGGGGAGATTCAGATGAGACATCTACATAAAGCACTTGGCAAATCTTAACGTGCTTTATAAGTGAGAGCTATCATTGTTACTATTGCTGATAACCTAGTCTTATGCCAAGATATCTACATTGTACATCTTCCAGCCCAGAGTAATGGGGCATTAGTTCTCCCATATGAATATCAGCCCATGGAGAATATTTTCTGCCTTTGGTAATCTCATGACAAGCCGCTCAGCAGGCCAGCAGTTTTGGAAATTTGACTCTTCGTTTATAAAGGCTGATGGGTTGGGTGGTACCTCGTCAGATTGTTCCATCAGACATCCATCCTCTTTGTTTTGATCACAGCCTCCAATTAAGTAAGCACACATTTCTAAGAGGCTATGAAACTATAGTCAGAGTTTTTTTTTAAATTTTAACAAAGTCTATGAAATTTTTGAAGCATCTGGTATATCTTCTTAAAAATATCTGTTTTTTTTTATCATTTTAAAACCATAGTTACTTCCCACTTAAAAATATTATGTTGTTTATTTTTTTAGTTTTAAAATCATTATCCCTCCCCACTAATTCCCTTTCACCATTGCAGGATCTTCCTTGTAAGAAAACAAAGCAGTGAAGCCAAAGAGACTTAAACATCAATCATGTTTCGTAGCATATGCAGCATTCTGGACCCATATTCCACCCATACTCCATACTCCACTCACATGGGTTCCACTGAATCCATACTTCACTGTCTAGAGCAAGTCAAGTTAGCCACCATTTATTAACTGCCTGATATGCTCCACTGTAGTATGCTAAGCACTGGGGATACAAAGAAAAGCCAAAATGAAAACAAAACCAAAAACAATTCAGTTTCATTATCTGTTTTTTAGTCAATAATTATATCCTCAGGCCATTCTGCAAGAGAGAAAACCATGAGTCCCAGTTTTCAGGCATGTCTGACTCTTTGTGATCTCATTTGGGGTTATCTTGGCAGAGATACTGGCCATTTCCTTCTCCAGTTCATTTTACAGATGAGGAAACTGAGGCAAACAGGGTGAAGTGATTTACCCAGGGTCACAAAACTAGTAAGTATCTATGTATGTAAGGCTCAATTTGAACTCAAGAAGTCTTCCTGACTCCAGGCCACCTAGCTGCTTACAGTCCCAGTTTGAAGGCATGCAAATCAACTGGATTGGAATCTAGTGTCAAAAAAAACAAACAAACAACAAAACAAATTGTACTGGAATCCAGTACCAAAAAGTACTAAAAGAATCCCAGTTTGAAGGCATTCAATCAACTGGATTGAAATTCAAAACAAACAAAAAAAAAAGGCGGAGGGTACAATGGTAATTAGATTTAATTTGTCCTAAGGGGACATTTTGTCATTTTTGAAACTTTAAAGTAATTTACCTATTGGGTCTTGTCTGTTTTTTTGCTTCAGACTTAATAGGAATGGCAACGAATTCCTATACTTCCAAAGAAAAACCAAGAAACAATGGAGAATCATTGAGGTCTAGAAGGAACCTGGATTGGGCACTGAAATTGCTTTAGGTTGCTGTATTTCCAGGCTGAGCAGGCCCTCCCAGAAGATGAGCTCGCTATTGAGCTGTCCTGGTTCTGATATGCATTAGTTGAGGTTCCCTTGTTTGTGACATAACACTTGGGACGTCACCCAATATTGGCCTCTGAAGGGGACCCAAGTGTAACCCAATGTTAACATGAGAAAGTGTGACAGGATATGCCAGAAGTTTAAAGAGAAACACATGATTTCTAGACTGTATACCTGCTGTGTTCCAGTATCTATTCAGAAAGACTCTGAGATGTGGAAGAAGGTTGAACGGTAAGAGCAAGAGGGAAAAAAAAAATCTGGCACGTCTTTTGTTGAAATTTAATCCCTCCTTTTTCCCCTTGATGCCCAGAAACAGTCTGCAGACTTTTCAATCACTTTTTAGGATACAGTGAATTTTATCATAATTTTTTTTCAACGAAAACCACATGTGCTTGTTCTTTTGACAACAGAGAATAACGAAATCGTATTTGTTAAGTCCAAAAGGCAAGTAATAAATAACTGGGACACGATTCTGAAATCCAAAGTTCTTCAAAAGAAGGAATGACTATTGTTGAAAAAAATTTAATTTGGATAGGAAAATGAACTTTTGAAGAGAAAACCATCTGAGAGCTACCCTGTGGCTCAAGGCCTTTTCCTTTCCTGCTGGACCAATTCTAGTTCTGCATCCTAAGGCCATAATAAAAAAGGGATTGTCTACAAAATGCACCCGTGCTTACGAGACTTGGGCCCACTTATCAACTTCAGGTAATAGTTAGGGTCAGGATTTTGCCAAGCAAGAATTTCCAGAAAAAAATGCAATTGGGTTCTGTTAATGTGGGTGGGTGTGGGTGGGGTGGTGGGAGGGGATGCTGAATCCTACCTTGGAAAAATGGACTCAGAGAAAAGAGGATTAAGAAAGGGCTGTGGAGAAACTTTAAGACAAAGTTCCTCCTTAGACCTAAGTAGGACATACTTTTCTTTCATGGTACTAGGAAGACTAATCCCTCTGACATGACAAAGCATTGTCTGGGTCACGCAAAGACCCATCTGAGATGGCTAGAAGGGTGCCACCGACAGATTAGACTCTGGAAACTGGCCATTGCCAGTCTGGAAGTGCCCCTCCCCAAATCCTCATTCTAAAAAAAAAAAATTGGCTAGCTGGAATTGAAATGCACATTAGTTGCCTAAAGGACTTTGGAGATTTGGGCTGCTACTTTTGACATCCTCATGGTGAAATGGTGTGTAACCTAGATTGAGTCTCAGAGTTGTTGCAAATGATCATAGCTATACCTTAAAACAAAACAAAACAAAACAGTGATGGATGGTGAAGTTTCATGTCATATGACTTTCTCTCTCTCTCTCTCTCTCTCTCTCTCTCTCTCTCTCTCTCTCTCTCTCTGTTTCTGTTCCTCACTCTCCCACCTTCCCTCTTCTCTCCTTTGTCACTCTGTCTCTTTATCTCTTTGTCACTGTCTCACTGCTTTCCTCTTTTTCTCTCTCCTTCCTTCTCTCCCTCCCTCCCTCTTTCTCTCTCCCTCCCATCCCCCTTCTCTCCTCTGATCCCTCCTTCTTCCTCTCCCCCCCTTCTCTCCTCTTGTCTCCTCTCCTATCTTTCTGTCTTTGTCTCTCTTTCTGTCTCTGTCTCAGTCCCTGTAACTGGTTTGATTTTTGGAATGCTAGCCATTTTAATATGATTGCACCAGCAGAACAAAAGAAATATAATCGTATCTTGAATGAGATCTTTGATCACTTAATTGATGAATTAAAGGCTCTCAAATGCCACGCACCAGGCGGAATGCTTCAGATTTACTGGTAATTTTAGAACCACTTTGTTATTAGTTCCTTATTTCCAGCCGCCCAGTGCAGAGGTATTTCGAAATGTATGCTTAAGTAGAAGCCAGGCTGCCCCTCCTCTCCATCTGCCATGGAACTCCAGGGAACTTACCCCAGGCAGCCAACGTCAGGAGATTTGGAGAGGTTAATTCATCTAGGAGGTGATAGGAACCAGGTTTGGGCTCTTTTTACATGAAAGAAAGGGAGAGGGGACAAAAGTGGGAAATGGGGACTGGATGAAAGGGAGAATTGAAGAGCTGTTCAAATTAATCAGGCCTGTAAGGCTGGGCTTAAAAGAAATCAGGCCAAACCTGAACAAAATAAGACTGGGGGCAAATAAGACTTACACCAAAAAATGTAACATTTGTCCTTAAAATACAGATAAGTGGACTCTGTGCTCTAGCCATAGTGACCTATTGGTGTCCCCTATGTCCCATATTACATCTCCTGTCTCCCATATTACATCTGTCTCCACGGCTTTGCAAAGGCTGTATCCCAGGTTCAGAATTCTCTTCCACCTCAACTTTTTCTCTTGGAAGCCCCAAGTTCCTTCAGGGCTCGCCCGAGTTACCTCCTACAAGAAGCCTTTCTTGAGTTTTATAGTATAATCCCACTCTCCTTGCCCTCCACCCAATTTTTTTTTTGTATTTATATTGTATTTACTTATCTGTGTTTCCCCCCAGGAGAATTCAATTCCTTGAAGTATCCAATGCCTTGCACTTAGTAGTTGCTTAATAAATTTGTGTTGAATTGAATTGAATATCAGTTGCTATTAGCAGTAATCAGCACGTTCTACAGTATGGTCTGTCTTCAGATGACTGATGTGTTCTGCCATTAACTATGTCATTACTGCATCATTATTAGTCAATATACATGTATTCAGTGCCTACTATGTGCCAGGCACTGTGCTAAGTGCTGGGAATAGAAACACAAGCAGAAAGACAGAATTTTAGTGACTTTTCCTTTGAGTCAATCTACTAGCATTTATTAAACAGCTACTACTATGCACATACAAAGAAAGGCAAAAGCAGTCTTTACCTTCAAGAAACTCTCATTCTAATTGGAGAGACAATTTGCAAAGAGCTATGTGCATAATACACACACAGCATATTAGAAAGTCATTTCACTGGTAATTGTCAAGACAGGATAAGTTTTGTCAGGTTGATGTGTACATATGTATTTGTGCTTAATCCATTTACAAAGCTGTAGGAAATAGGTTGCCTTTCGTCCCTTCACACTCCCTCTCACTACTGCCACCCCCAACTCTGTGGACATTTGATTGATTGATTGATTGATTGATTGATTGATTCTTTCTTTCTTTCTTTCTTTCTTTCTTTCTTTCTCTCTCTCTCTCTCTCTCTCTTTCTCCCTTCCTTCCTTCTTTCCTTTCTCCCTTCCTTCCTTCTTTCCTTCCTTCCTTCCTTCCTTCCTTCCTTCCTTCCTTCCTTCCTTCCTTCCTTCCTTCCTTCCTTCCTTCCTTCCTTCCTTCCTTCCTTTCTCTTTCTTTCTTCAATTGGGGTTAAGTGACTTGCTCAGGGTCACACAGCTAGTAAGTGTCAAGTGTTTGGTCTGAGGCCATATTTGAACTCAGGTCCTCCTGACTTCAGGTGCTCTACCCACTTCACCACCTAGCTGCCCTGGGATGTTTAATTTCTAATATGCCCTTGAGCTTATCTCTATCAGCCACAGAAGGAGCAGAAGCATGAGAGGCTAGGGAATTCTCTTGAGCATCCAAGGTTCTGGGTGTCTTTATGAAGTGAAATGTGGATTGCTGAGGAATGAGGTAGGAAAGACAAAGAATGGGAGGGAAGCCAATGAGCTGTGTGGCCAAGATAGAAGAAAGGTTTTCCTTTCTTGTCTGTTCATTTGATTGTTGCTAAAAATAATGAAATAATTTATGAGGCCACAGGGTTTGATCCTAGGATCTCCATTTGTCCTGTGGGGGCAGAAAGAGCACTCTGTGAGGTCTAGGTCTGGGTTTCCCAGTTTGCTGGCAAGTAAGCCTGGGCAAATGCCAAGGCTAGGATGTTTCTTTACCTGTAAAATGCAGGAATCAGATAAGATGAACTCTAAAGGACTTATCATCCTTAAAATTTTAAGATTCTAGGAGTGTTTTGTCTCTCCTCTTTCCTCTCAACACTAGATAGATAAATGAATAGATAGATAGGTGGGCAGACAGATAAAGCATTTATTAAGGCTTCCTTGATGCAAGGCACTGTGCTAAGTGCTGGGAATACAAATAAAAGAAAATGAGATGGTTCCTACTCTCAAGGAACACACATTCTAAAGGAGGAAGGTAAAACATAAAGAGGACATGGAAAACGGGGCAGGGGAAGAGTCCAGGCAGCTGATGGGGAAGTGAAACAACTGGATGAATGAGTTGAGCCAGGTGTGAAGTGAGGCACCTCAAGAAATGGCCATGAGAACCACATGCTCTAACATGCTGCCTCTAATTCGTGACATGCCCAGAATGAGCAAGTGGAGTCGTTCTCCTAGTGCCAGGATTTTGTTATGATAGAGTCTATTTGACCATTTTCCCAATTGCTTCTGGGGGTAAACCATGTTGTTGTGTTTGGAGAAGAGGGGAAAACTGAGATATTCCAACAATACCTTAGTTTATTTTATGGGCCACTCCCTCGTGCCATTGTGTAAAGAATTCACAGATTTACTGCCAGAAATTCCACCATCGAAAATCCAGCCAATGCCTTATCTATATGTAAATCTGTCCATTGTATTGCATGGAGAGAATTCATATTATTAGCCCAACTCCTATTAATTCTCTTCATCAATGTTTATGCTTGTTAGTGAGCTGTTTGGAAGTATTTATATTTACCATGTGCCTAAGAATGTGTACAAAAGAAATGAAGGACGTAGGCCTTGATAAGGCCCTTCCTTCTATTGAATTTGTTCTGACTCTTTGGTCCCTGTTACTTTTTCTTCAGCTTTCTCCTCTCTCTTGTTGCCCCCCCTTTGCTCAAAAGGACTTTCCCTCTGCTGCACAAACCTAGCTCTCCCCTGACTTGTGTTCTGAGATGAAGCCTCCTGTCTTAAATCTCCATGTCCCAAAACAAAGTTCATCCCCAATTCTTAGTTTCTCTCCAGTCCGGTTTGACCCATCAGCAACTTCTCCTTGTTTAAGGAGACCCCCCTCCAAATTTATTACCTAATTTAGATCCTAGTCCTGTTTAATAGGACCCAAGTCACCCTCCCCCCTCTCTCAAGGAGTTCAAAACCTGGGTTATTTATATTTTTCTCCTTCTCACTTCCTACCCTCCTTCAAGGAGACTTCAACATACATATTGATACTCCTCCAAAGTACTTGAACTACCAGTGTCTAAGTCTCTTTAATGACTACAGCAGAACCATATGCTTTACCAGAAACTTAATCTTACCATCACCCATAAACATGCCCTTTTCTTGATAAAAAGCTTTGGATCTGATCTTAACCATATATCATTTCCCTTCCCCTGTTTTTACCTTTTCCAAACCTATTCTTTGACCCCACAACAATGACCAATAGCTTAACCCCTCAGTACCTTTTTGAACAATTATGTCTGCTCTAACTTCGTTTTCTCTACAGAGTTCTTTCCTGAGACCTAGAGCCATACCAAAATTCCCTCCCCTCAATTAAAAAATGTATTAGATAACTAATTCAATTCCATGTAGTTCCCCATTCTCAATTTGCTTGTGCTTTTTCCTGTATTAACAATGAGGGCTTGGCACATAGTAAGCACTTAAATTCTCTCTCTCTCTCTCTCCTTCTCTCTCTCTCTCTCTCTCTCTCTCTCTCTCTCTCTCTCTCTCTCTCTCTCTCTCTCTCTCTTTCTCTCTCTCTCTCTTTCTTTCTTTCTCTCTCTCTCTCCCTTTGTCTTATCACCATGCATGCTTTCCCAAAGACAAAGCCTGGACTACTCCCACCATTTGCCCAAGGC